TAAGGGCTGAATATGGTACATCGGCCAAGAGGGAAAACACAACATCCTGACATTTAGAGGCATTCAATGAGAGGGAACGGGACAAGGACCAAGTGATAACGTCATTCAGCTTGCTTTGAATTTTGGAAGCCTCTTCAGGGGTGGATGCTTTGCAACCTATAACAATATCAGCATATTTACAGCCAATGAATGCAGGAGGAATGGGAAATTGTTTGACATACATGGAAAAGAAAAATGGGGAAAATATTGCACCTTGCAGGACACCAGAAGAAACTGGGCAAGTGGAAGACTTTTTGCTGTTGAGACATGTAAACTGCCGTCTATGTGAACTAATCACAGATCAGTCTGCCAACGTTTGTATTTACCCCACTTTCAGTAATCAGGTTGAGCAATACTGATCGATCACGACTGCCGAAAGCGTTTTTAGTCTATGAACATCATTCTGACGGTCTTATTTTTCTTATCTAGTACCGAAATTATTGAATGAACGAGATATGCAACGGCATCCAGTGTTGACCGCGAGGAGTGATATGCAAGTTGATATATGTCGTCTTCATCGGACTCAGTGTCAACCCACGGTAATAAGCATCTCTTAAATAATTCGAGCATGACTGACGTGCAAGCGATGGGACGATATTTCTCAGATTCCTTTTTTGGAACGGGAGTTATCTTGGCCAGTCTCCAAATATCAGGGATTCCCCGCTTGTAAGACAGTCATCGAATATTTTTCACAATGGGGCTGAAAGGATGTCAGCACATAGACTGAGTACTACGGGTGGTAGTTCATACGGGCCCGATGCTTTAGTCAACTTAGTTTTCAGTAGCTGTTTCAGGACTGTGGCGGGCTATAACCCGATATGTTTTGATATCTATACAACTACACATTTTCCTATCAAACTTTAGCAAAAACCCACAATGATTTAGCCTCAACCCGTAATCCTTTGACCAAAACTCAGAATGCTTTACCCACGACCCAAAATCTTTGGTCATGCCGTTTTAGACGAGTTGTATTAAAAGTATCCGCATGTACTCTGAGGTCAACCAATGTTGAAACATTTTATTTGTTACCAGTGTTGACGTACAGAGAAATAAGAAGGGGTGTCGGTGACATGCTGCACCACATGCTGATTGGAGAGGGTTCAAACGAGGTGCGTGTCAAACCATTTGACACCGCTCGTACAGCTTCAGTGTTTCTGCATAACATGCGATACCCCGGTGAGTAAAAATCTCAAATGTCACACAAACGGTACACTGTTTTAAATTCACAAGCTCTGTTATGAATCAAAAAGTGATGCCATAAAGAATTAAATGCTTGCCGTTGCGTACCTTCATTTAAAGTGAACCCTATTCTTGAAAACAATGAAAACCGTTCACAGAAATACACCCCGATTAATATCATCAGTTTATTAACACTGCAACATTTGACAATTACCACGGTCGAGGCTCGAGAATCACTGATTTGGTCTAAAGCTTGATGGGAAAAGGTGTAATAAGTGGGCTATCTTTTGTGAAAGGTATTTATTATCCTGGAACTGTTATGACACCTTTCATGAACAGAATTCACCTTAAGTGGAGATACTTTTTGATTAGATTCACGGTTTGAGAATGTAAAACAACGTACCATTTGTGATTTTTACCCACAGAAAAATACTACCTTTTATACGGAAACAGCAAAACTGTACGAGATGTGACAAATTGTTTTACGACACGGGCACATTGTTCAAACATTCTCCAAACAATATGTGGTGCGGCGTTTAATATTGCGCAGCATGCGATCGCCACATCTCAATTCTTAATCAGGCTTCCTATATCAACACTTGTAAGAAATAAAATGTTTCCATATTCGTTAACATTTGAACATTCCGATCTGCCTCATCCACAGCGGTATGACTAAAGTTTGTGCGTCAAGGCGAAACGATTACGGGTCGTGGCTAAAACATAGCGGGCTTTGGCCAAAGGAATGTGGGTTTTGCTTAAAGAATGATGGGAAAAGGTGTAGATCTACTTCAATCTAGAACCGCTTTTCAGCTCTTTGGGTTTTACAATACCGTGCGGGTGATTCATTCGAGAAACATTTCCAACACCAAGTAACTGAAATTTCCAACAAAAAGCCCTCCGTTTATGGATGGTGAGATACTGTCTGAATTTGGATGATCCTAATTGCGAGCAAGCGAGTTGAAGCCGTTTGGCATCGTTGGTTTATCCCATCTATTCTGTCTCACAATAACATGGTTATTATTATTTCCATACGGATCTTAATTTCAGTATATCTGTTGTACAACTACTGTACAGTCAGATTTCGGAAAAAGGGTATGGCCGGCCTATGCCTGGCCCCTTCTCTCTTCCTGAAAGTGATAGCATAATTTATTCTATAAAAGGAAGTAAAAGAAAAAAGAAGTTCATCAGTTATAAAACGGTCTTGGTCTTAAATTCACAGTCTGCAGGTTACTAGTCTTATCCGAGCGATCACAATTCTTTATTGATTTGCACTGATTATCTTTCGGACTGCAACTTCACACACACTCCTCATGTTATCCAATCAACCGTACACTCCCACACTACTATTCACAAGTAACTATGAGTTAAATGTGGAAATATTTTATTAATGCTCACTATCCAAAAAACCTTTGTCATTCGATTGTAAAAGAGAAAGCGCACATCCCTAAAGATAACGTCTGATTCGGTTTTGTTTGTTTATCTGGTTATGACTTCTCGGTCTTTTCACCCGGTAGATCGTATTGGTTTGAAGTGTTCAGTAACAGAGTTGGACGACAAAGTGAGAGATGTTTCACGAAACCAGACAGAACAGGAATGAGTGGTGACTGTACCGGCCACGGAAATGCCGTAAAATGACTGACGCATTGAGTAAGGAGTGGGGGAGTAGGGTTGGGGGTGGGTG